AAATCATCGATCCCTATCGAACGTGTGTCGAAGGATTGGCCTGATCGTTTCATCTCATTCGAGATTTGTCTCAATTTAGCTAGGTTCATTGAATCCAAAGCGACATCCAAATCTTCTACCTTTTTGAATGTTTCATCGAGTTTATACAAGAGAGTCTTTTAAGGTTTCTGACGCTTGGAAAGTGAGATGATAGCATCTCCAAAGAAGACAGTAAATAGTCACATGGATTTTGTTCAAGGTAACAATGGACCGAATGTCCTAACTTGTCATCTGAATGTTTTGAAAAACACCTTTTCAAAAATTCTCGGAAAGTACGGAATTTTTTGCGCTGCCAAAGTTTCGAGAAACTTTTGATAATCTCCTAGTAAGCTTTTACTCTGCTGTACTTTACAATACTCATTGCATACCCATTGTGTATATTTTCTTCTATTTTCACCAGGGGTAATATATTCATTGCGTGTCCCTTCAAGTTCATTTCAATTTTGAATTCCTTAGGGATCTGAAATACGTAAATCATATCGGAAAAGAAGGATTCTGTCGATGCTGTATACCTCGATTTCCCACAAAGATCAACTATTTTGTTTCCATTTTTATTACCATTCATATCAGTAAGATGATAGTCTGCATTTTTTCGAAGTGTATCCGCCCAACGATTCAAATTCTTCAAGTAATTTTTTCGTTGTTCCATACACCATTTTACTATCTTTTGAGCTTCTAGCTTACTTTCAGCGTGAACAGTTCCGTCAATTTGGCTAATTATTTTTGTTAATTCTTCTACGCATTGCTCAGGACAGACTTTAGTTGGAATTATTTCCGGCTTCGCTTTACGATCCATGCAAGTACGCTTCTTCACAATGGATGAAATTTGAGATTTTCTGTTGGTTTTTTCAGACACTTTCCTGTGCTTTTCTTTGAATACAAGTTTTCTTGACTTTAAATTGCTGACATTTCTGCGTTCTTCTTTGCTCAAATCTTGTCTTAGAGAATTATCATTCTTCACAACTGTAGCCCGTTCAGCAATCTCTTTAGCTTTATTCTTATTCAAATCGTGCAGCAATGACTGAGAACCTATCTCTTCACATGGCATGCCTAACTGACTGTGTCTAGAGTATTCGTTTAAATCATTGATTCTCTTTTCATCTACATGTGAAGATGAAGATAGCATCTCCGCCCTTACGCTCTCAACACAATCAGTAATATTTGAAGCCTTTTTGTCCCTACAGCAACGTACTTTATATGCCTTGCGTTCTTTTTGTTGAATTTGATGTAACGATAAGAGCGTCGGTGGATTGGAATTGGAGGTATGAGGAAATTGGGTGATCTTCATTGCTTGAAACATATTGATCAGGTGTTCACGCCTCAGTGAGTAATCATATCTGATATACTCCGGTTTTTCTCTAAATAACAACGATACTGCAAACGCTATAGCAAACACACCACAGTCAACATGATTCAATTGATTTTGTACAGATATGAATCGTACAGAATTATCTGAGATGTTGAAGAAGGGATAAAGAGCGCGTAAAAATTTTTTGTAATCGTCATGTAATGAGCGCGGGTTTAATGAGTCATAAATGAAAATATCTCTACCATCATAGAAAGAACACACCCAATGCCCATACTCTCCTTTCTGTTCATTATCATTACTATATAGAATCTGAATATTTTTCTTCGCAAGAGGTATGGGTGCAATTCGCTCGGGCCTCTGCAAGAATAATGTATCTTGATGAGAATAATCGGAATGATTTGATAATAATTTTCCAAAAAATTCCATGTGTTGACTTTTGAGTTGTTCAGATCTACGGATTATCGCTATCCACTCGAGACCAAGCGGCGAAACCTGCACTCCGCATCCCTTTGTCACGCGGCGACGTTTTTGATTGGGGGTTCTTTGTCTTTGGACTTTTCAAATGATGTTTCATTGAAAACGCGTTTCGATTGAGATTCTCCAATGCAACGCCCATCGCCCGCATTATTGTAATTATCAACCTCCATCGCGTGTGATTGATTTTTATCTCCGTGCAAACGACTGGTAGCGGTTTGACTTCGGTCGATATTCTGCGGAAGTTTCTGATGATCCTTTACGATGGTTTGCTGGTCATTCACTTGCAGTTTCTCTTTGTCTTCTTTTAGAAGTGATTCGAATTCTATTTCTGCATGAGTAGAGATTGGTGATTTTTTTGGTGTGGCCTGAATTTGAACCGAAGAATTCCTGAGAACTGGGAACTGAGAGATTTTGCCACTATCGAAGATATGCAATAGATGCTCTCGCATTCTCAACACATCATATGTTATTGTTCCAGGATCTTCCCCAAACGCAATCGACACGGCAAACGCTATTGCAAAAAGCCCACAGTCATACATATTTTGCTGTTGTTGAACTTTACAGAACTTCACGCCCAGTATATCTATTGGATAGAATGGGTATAGGGCTTTCAAATATTGAATATGTTTTGGATCAAGTTTGCGTCGATTATCAGAATCATAAATATAGATAGAATTTTCGTCATAATACGTACAAATCCAGTGTCCATTACGCATTTCTCCAGCGTCTTTATCTGAAAAATTTCCACTCATACTATGCAGCAAATGTACCTGATTCTTACTGGGAGGGATCGGTTCCATAAAACCCGGCAGCTGGAATTTCCAAGATTCTCGAAATTCAAATTGGAATTGTTGATGAAGTAATTGTGCAAAGTAGTCAATCTCATCATCAGATAACCAACCTTCTCGTCCCCTTGTTAATATTAAATTACGATTGTACAAAGGCATGTTTAAATAAAATAAAACAATCAAGTCTCAAAATTTATTCAATTTATTTAGTCACTCTTGGTGAATGAAATTACACACACTTAACAATAATACTCCCACACATTAACGTCTAATACATTGATAAACACAGCTTGTGAAGCTGAAAATGTAATAGCAACAGCTTTAATCAGCTGAGGGAAACAGCTTACGACAGCTGAATAAGAAATGATCACAGCTTAGAGAAGCTGAAAGCGCAGCTTGTGAAAAGCTGAAAGTGAGGAGAATAACAGCTAAAAGGAGCTGAAAATGTCAACAACACAGCTGAGAAATAGCTGAACAAACTGTACAGCTGACTAACAGCTGACAAGAGCTAGAAGAGCTCAGAAAGAGCTGGGAGTTTCAGAACAAAACAGGCAGGAGTTGCTCTTTGTGAAGAATGCCAAAAATAAAACAAGTCAATAAAAAACAAAAATAATAGATTAAATGATAACAGGAAAGTAAGAAAGATGAGAAAGAGCAGAATAAAGAGTAAAAATACGAAATAGTATGAGATTTGATGAGAGAAAATTGAAAGAATGGCAAGGTCAAAGGAAGAAAAGAAAGAATTCCAGGAGAAAGATAGTAGTGATGAAGAAAAGAAAGATAGTAGTTAAAAAATATAGGTTAGAAACCTGAAACACCTCGGCTGGGGATAGAAATCGTAACCAGATCACCTACAACGAAAATACAACACATAAATACGAGAAAACGCGATCAATGTTTTTTGAGTCGACATAATTAAGTATTTTTCATTTATTTACAAAAACCTTACTCTAACACAACCAACTGAAGTATCACATAATAACACTGCACAACACGTGAATAAAGATTATAGAGGAGATTGCTAACGCCAATGGCTGCCGTTCAACCGAAAATTTTCGCAACGGCCGCTGCGATCTAAAACAAAGGCCGTACCTGTAAGTCAAACAGGTCGCACGCCAGAGAGTGTCGATAATTTTCGGAGGCCATGAGTATGAAAAAGGCAGAGCGAGAGCCCGAAAGTGTCGATAATTCGAAAAGGTCGACGATGTCCGGAAAGGAACAAAGACAAACGATTTAATGACCATGAAATCATTTTTCGTTTGCAATCGGTTGTTTCTCCATCATACTCCCACTCCGTATTAAATCGTCTGTCTTCGTTCGTTTCCGGACGCATGCGCAGATGCACGCATTGTGAGGGATCTTATTAATCATAATGGAAAATGAATCGTTTGTAGATAATAAATATCTTGGCTTCATTCTTTTACACCTAATGATGCATTAGATATTAATTAACTTAAAAAAAGGTCTATGGTGTTTACATCGACGCAGGCGCAGACACTCGTACTTACACCTACTATGGTGTTTTCGGCGATCAGGGAGGAATGGTGATAAGGACCATTGTATAATATTGTAATAGTGATAAAAATCTTCGTTTTTTACTTATTAATTAAAATAATACGCAAAATTCACCACCCCCTCTCGTAATTTTCATTTATAGCCCCCAATTTATTTTTAAAATCAGCACAAACTTCCAGTCATCATTGATTACATTCCCTTGATTATTTAAATTATTTAAATAAAGTCATTTCTATTATTTCTATTATATGTTTAACAGACTTGAGATTTTAAATCACGTTCATAGTTTTTAAAGATTTTCTTACTATTAAATTATTATATTATATGTTTAACAGACTTAAGATTTTAAATCACGTTCGTAGTTTTTGAAGTTTTCCTTAAAATATTATTTTAACAAAGTTTATACGCTACATAAGCTATTTCACATTTTATGTTCAACAGACTTCGTATTTTACATCACATTTTTATTTGTATTTCGAAGCTAAGTTAAAACTAGTCACGTACGAGTCACAGCCCATCTAAACTAGCAAGTTCAATTTGTACTTTTATCTTATATTTAAACTATTAAAGGATATAAACGATAGGAATCTGTAACAGAAAAAGAAAAATTATAAACCGCACTAACTCATTGATATTCGAAAAAATTAACGTGAACTCACCATGAGAACTGAAGAAGTGAGTGAGATAGGGACCGTATAAGGGAGAGAAAGGTGATTACCTAATCTCTATAAAAGAAGTTGAAGGAAGCCCCTCCTCCTCCACGAGACCTGTTTTGATAATAGCGTCCCCTCCAGTAGCTAGATGGAAGAAGATTAGAATTAAATACGATAAGAATTCCGCCACCTCCCTTAGATTCAGTCATTTTTTACTAGCTAACAGGGTCCATACCGAGCGTTTCTCTCCCCCAAGAATCTCCCAGCTCTGCGATTGCCCCTAGCAGCACCTCTGCCCCTCCCTCTTGGAACAGCCTCCTCAGGATTCTCCGGATCCTCAGGATCCTGAGCCAATGGAGCAGCACCTCTGCCTCTCCCTCTTGGAGCAGGCTCCTGAGGATGCTGAGCCAGTGGAGCAGCACCTCTGCCCCTCCCTCTTCGAGCAGGCTCCTGAGGACCCTGAGCCAGTGGAGCAGCATTGCGTCGGTCGAGACGTATCTGCCTCTGCAGATCAGCAATCTGTCGACCAAGTTGCTCCACGTGATGGAGCAGAATATTAGGGTCTGGAAGATGATGTGGAGCAGGATTATTTTGTTCCCTTGGCGCTGGTCCTGGCGAAGGCTGGCGACATGGTGACATAGGTGGAAGTGGGGGTGGAGATGGTGGTGGACGCTGAGCCAGGAATCTCTGAAGAAGAAAAAATTAAATAATCAAATTTTGTTTCATAACATCATCTCGGATTCTAAAAAAAATTGCGAAATTCTTAGCGAATCTTTTTTGTAGATTTCATTCTGTTCTACAAAAAAGGTTCTTACAAAATTTTCACAAGCTCATCCAGATTCCAACATATGCTTCAAGCAAAATCGGTCATCATAAAAGATATTTTCATGACAATATTCCAATATTCAAATTGAATAACGACGTTATGAACGAGCATAAGTTCAATTCCAGGCTATGTTTTTGATGGATATCTCCAAATCTAATGAAAATTATTCATGAGAAACTCTGCCAGGAATTAAAGTTACGCTCATTCATAACGTCGTTATTGAAAAAATTTGAATTTGGAATATTATCATGAAAAGATCTTTTATGATGAATGATTTTGTTGGACGAATATGTTGGATGGAACCTGGATGAGCTTGTGAAAATTTTTTAAGAATTGTAAAATATTTATGCAAACCTCAAACGACATTTATATTCGATTAACACGGACAAACAGTTACTCCATATGGTTTTATTTCTTGCAGAAAAAATCTGTTAATTGGATACAACAAGAAAAATTTTCTGATGTTGAAAAACATTTCTTCATCTCGTGATCATTTTCATTAAAACTGAATCAAGTAGAAATTCCAATTGCGAAAATTACTTATAAAATTCTCAATTAAAATTGGCAAAATTGTTTACAAGGGATGATTGACATGGAATTTCGATTATTTAATAATTAATTTCGACTCTCGAATGGTCCACGAATTTTGATGCCTCTGACGGTAATAACAATGAAAATTATTGACAATCCTGGGGATCTGGATAATCTTGTTTATTAATTATTTATATTTCAAGGCAAGCTCGAATTTCAAATGTCATTATAAAAATGTCGATTCATAGATGCATCAAAAACTAATTTCCAATCGAGTCAACTCATCCTGATATACGATTTCACCCTGAACTTCACACTACATACTTAAATTAATCCCCACAATCATTTCTTTTATAAAAAAAAATATAAAATATCTGTCTTCCATTAATAAAATAAAATAAATAATCGTGGGGATTAATGTAAGAATGAAATTCAGTGTGAAATTGTATATCAGGATGACGTGGTGATTGGATAGGAGTTTTTTGAGAATATCTCAGAATATGGACGAGATGGGGTAATATTTGACATAACATTTTTTGTAGAACGAAATAAGATCTACAAAAAATGTATGAATAGAAAATTACACTATCTCGTGTCAATTCAGACATTCATCAAAATCTAATTTTCAATCAAATCAACTGACCTGATGCACAATTCAACACTGAACTTCCCAGTATACACGTTAATTAATGCCGACAATTATTTGTTTTATTTTATAAATTGAAAAGATCTATTTCATTTTTATTTTTCGGAAATAATTCACGCAATTTTCCCTCACATTAGAACCGCAAAAATCATGGTCGAGTGCTAGGTGAATTCCCCCCCAAATACATATTTAATTAACAAAGCACATGATTGAATGTGCTCCTAATATTAAGGCGAATGCGTTAAGTATCATGATTAATGTTTGAAAGCTTACCAGATCGTCGTTATCCTCGGCAACTGCAGGAGTTGGGTCGTTGGCGTCGTTGTCGGCCATGTTGGTGGATGGAAAGAACGAAGGAGGATGCGTTCATCAATCAATATATGGATTGAACGATCGAGAGAGGATGCGTTCATCACCAACACTTCACTGCACTGTATAGTGTTGTCTAGGGTCCCTAGATCACCGCCGTCTTGTAGCCAATGACAATCTCACTATTTTTCTTACACTATATACACTACACTGTTTCCAGTCGCTGAACGTGATAAACGAGAATTCGAGTCCGCTGCCAACCTAGTGGCTCAAGTGTAACCCGTTAGTTGATGTCGGTAATAATAATAAAAAATCGAGAAATGTGCATGATAGCTCATTGCTATGGACATATCTCCGTTAATATTCAATAATTAAAACTATAATTAAATCAGTGGGAAGCTGATATGCGATTTATATGATGTAACTAAGGCCAGTTTTCATCTAAATGATCGCGTAAATTTATTAAATAAAAAAAATGGATTGGAGGTAGTGGAAGGGGAAGTTGTGTGGTGTATAGATACTTGGTAGCTATCGGTGGTCTTTCGCGTATGAAACGTGTACTTGGCCGATACGCTACCGCGTATCTCGATTTATTCTTTCAATATTCATATTGGAACAAATCCCAAATAATTGTCTGGCAGACACTCACTCCACAATTGTGAGCCAGACCACATATTTTTTATTCTGTGAACATTTTTCAATTATTTTTGCTCGATCACTCTCTACAGCTAATAATTTTTATGTTTTTCTGCAGTAATCATTCATTTTCGTGGTTAGCTGGAAATGGATGAATTTTCAAATGTTTAACAGTGGGATCGATATAATGAAATAAAGTCAAAAAGTCATGAAATTATGGAATTCCAATTTCTTATTTTCTTGTGCTTTTTCCCGGTAAAAACTCTTTTAAATTTCTAAAATACTGCTGAGGGAATGTTCAAACAGTATTAACAAAAATTAAAAAATCTTTTCAACAGTTTTTTCAATTAATTTGCTGCCGAAATATTCAATTCAGAGTAATTTATTCAATGGAATTTTATGCGGAAGTTGATAGAGGGAAAAATTATTAATTGATATTTTTTAACAATGCATAATGCAGCAAGAAAAATATTTATATTTTTCGTTCAAAAATTCAAATTTTTGCGCGTTGACTGACGTAACGATACCCCCACTCTGACCCAAGCAGCGTGGTCTCGCCCCTCCAACTACCTGCACGGTACAATAGGACCCCTTCTTTTATAGTCATTGGCCTAATTGAGGTTGGGCGCTAGGTGAGCCGATTGAGCGCACTTTGCCCATGCCTGAGCTACACCAATCGCTCTGGGAGGGTTCGATAATTCCTTGTTTTGATAATTGGGCGGCTTTCAGAATGTGGGGGGCATATCTACGCATCGCGCCACGGATAGGAGGGTGATCTTGGGTGTCTATATGCATCGTGAGTAAGGGGCAAACGGAGGCAATTTCGGGGGCGGGATTTATCCAACTCTTGAATTCTTCGCGGACGGTTTTTAATTGATCTTCGGGGACGACTGCTAATTGTGCTAAATCACAGGGGGGAGGATTGGCTAAATTAAGGGGTTGCCGTGGGGGGCCTTCACCGTCGGAGGTATACCATACACTAATGGGTTGCGCCGTGAGCTCGAGGGGGTGAATATCGGGGGTTTGCGTCTCTCAGCATTCAAGGGTAAACGCTAACGCGTTGAGGGCATCCATTCCTGGAATATAATCGAAAGCAAGGGCGCTTGATAATCTGAAGGGGATGAGTTGGACTCGATGAGCATAGGCTAGTCTCATAATAGCACAGCCGGCTAATGGGACTGTTTCGCTGTTTCAGATGACCACTTCTTCTCCGGTAGCGATGGCGTATTTGTCCAGGTCCACGCCAGCGTTAGTACTGATAAATGATCGATTTGCCCCTGCGTCGATCAGGGTGCGGAGCGAACGTTGTCCTAATTTTATTTCTACGAATCTGCGGTTCTCTAGGGGTTGATCAAAGGCAAGGGTGAGGAAGTCTTCATAATCGATGTAATCGGTGTTGGTTGGGTCATTCAGCGTAATAGTAAACAGTTTGGGGTTGTTGTCAGGGACGAGGTCGGTCCCGGGGGAAGAAGAGACAGGGGTTTCAGGGATAGTTGGGGGTTGTTCGGTAGGGCTGGGGTCTGTTGAGAGTGTGTCTTGAATACGGGGGATATCCTGGGGGCAACTGGGTGTGGCGGCTGGGGGAAGACTTCGGTGAGGGGTCGGTGGTGATACAGGGGGACGTGAGTTCGTGGGAGGAGTGGGCTCAGGTGTAGGTGATACGGCGGTCTGGGGAGGTTGGGGGGTTATACGGGAAATGGGTTCAGAACAGGGTGCCTTTAGGGGTCTGGGAGTGGGTCGGATGGGAGTTCTCTGGGGGACAGGTCGGGTACGGTAACACGGGCGTATGGTTAAGCGATGATCCCGCGGGGGTGGTGTGGGTTTAACACCCCCGCTCCTTAGTTTCCCTGGTTTAGAGATGTTCCATACGATGGTCGGGTGTAGGACTGTGTAGGGCGAGGGTTAGGGTAATATCGGGGAGGTTGGATCTGTTGAGGTGTATTGGAGGGTGCTTGGGTAGACAAGGCTTGTTGGGCGTAGGGGTTGAGGGGGCATTCGCGGGCGAAATGACCAGGTTGGCGGCAACGGAAAGAGGGGCGGTACTCTGGGTATGCGGGTGGTTTTGAGTTTATGGGTGATGGGTTCGTGGGAATACTCATAAGGTGTGGGATATGGCGCGGGGAAGGTGAAGTGGGACGGGGAGAGGTTCGTTCGGTTACGTCGGCGTATGTTGGGTGTCTTGGGGGTGAATTTGGTCTGGCGTTACTGTTCGTCTGTCTGGGGAATACATTACGTCGGGGGTGATATGTGTCATCTGGGGGAGGGAGATAGGGATTTCTGGAATATTGTTCTAAGGGGTCGTTATCTGCACGAAGGGGTTGGGCGCCGAGGGCATGATTTTGAGGGGTGTCAGTATCGGAAGAATGACGATTTCTGGGGTTGGCACGACGAGGGGCTGGTGAAGGGGTATGGATTGCTGTGGGATGTCTATACCGAGACGTGTCTGACAGGGTTCTTTGAATTAGCCTAGCGATCTCAATGAATTGTTCCATGGTAGTGCATCTATCGCCACCCATCTCTTTAAAGTAAACCGGATTTAGTTGCCATTTTAGAATTCCCAATTGTCTCTGTAAGGGGGGAGGGGGATGGGGACTCCAGAACAGTCTACGGAGACTGGCAATATAATCGCCTACGTCTTCGTCCACGCCCTGAAACCATTGATGAATATCCTGCCAGATACTCTCTTCTTGGTCGAGAGGGTAGGACATTAATTGAAATGCCCTTAAAAAATCGTCATAACTCCTGATGTTTGGCAGTTCTGTCAAATACCAGGAGTGGGCGTTGTTTTTGAAAGCTGAGGGGAGAGCCCGCAGTGTCTCCGTCTCAGTTAGCCCGTTTGATTTGCAACATATTGTAATGCTATCGAGGAACTTATACGGTTCCTCTTCGCGAGTCCCAGAGAAGCTAATTCCGTCTCTTTTAAAGATATTATTAACCCTCAGATCACGAGTTTGCAGGTCGTATTGTGTCTCTTCACAGAAGGGGGCCCTATACGTATCCTGGAGACGAGTTTGGGGGGACCCAATAGGAGGGGAGGGGTCCGTGGTCATATGGGTTGAGTTACCGGGTATGAATTTCTGGGGGTATGTACGGGTCTTGAGGGAAGGGTCTGTGTGGGGTAGTATCGGGAACTAGTGGGGAGGAATTGAGGGTAGTCGACTTGATATGTTGAATGGGCGTTTGGGGATGACGATTGGTTGTCGCCTAGGATAGAGGTTTGTTGGAGTGCAAATGTAATGGGTACAAGAGATTCAGGGGTAAGGAGGTCGATTGTGGGATGGGGATGGGGGGCAACAGGTCTCTGGTAGATAAGGGTGGGTCGGTCAGATGGTAGGGGGATACCAGCAAGAGGGGGTGTGGGAGTGGGAATGAGGGGTTGTCGAAAGGTGACTCGATAGGCAGGGGATGGTTTGTCAAGGGACTGGGTGAAAGAGGGGTTCACCTGTCGACTGCTCGAAACTAATGAGGTCCTGTTATGTCCCGATAGTTTGTCCCGTCCGGAGAGTGCCAGAAGGGCGAAGAGTAAACGATCCGTCAGCTTCGGGGATAACGCGAAAACCGGCGGTGGTAATAGGCATCCTGATCGAATCAATCTCGTCGTCCCAGGGGGCCGTGTTTTCCCCGAATTTTTTACGAACCTCAAACCGTAAAAATCGATACTTAATAAAAACACCGCGACTTTCAATACCCAGAGTATCTAATAAAATCAGCTGACTACGGGGGGTGAGGGACTCAAACTGTATTTCTAATTCCCTGTGATATTGGGCGATTTGGGAAGGGAGGGGACGTGAGGAACGGAAGGGGGAAGGGGGTGGATTGGGCCAGAAGCAGAAGCCGAGGGGGTAGTGGCAGTGGTGGTTGTTACGGTGGTGGTGGTGGTGGTGGTGATTTGGGCAGTGGATATTCCGGGGTCAGATGAGGGAGGGTCAAGAATGACCGAATTGGGCTCCATTTTCAATTAATGTGACAAAACCCACGAAAGACTGCGCGCGAAAAAGAAGACGACGCGAGCGGTGCGCCCTCGGCAGCACAAAAAAAAAATTTAACGCGCTTTGTGCGCCTCCGGCAGCACGGATAGTCGGAATGATCAGAAGAAACAAAAAAGAAAAGAAAGCGAAACACGCGAAAAATCCGCTAAAACCTATGAATCGGCGGTGAGAAGGCAACTGGTAATAGTAGAATTATCTCTACTGAAGTCATCACCAAAAAAAAAGAGATAATAAAGATTGTAACGTGACATTTCCCTAAGCGACCGTAAATGCCCATCACCTTCACCCTTCCTCCCTCTGGCCGCCCTGCCGATGCAAAAATTTAACTAAATTGGGACCAAAAAAGGTTGCCGGGCGCCAGCTAATTTTTCGGATCGAGAAACCAGCAACTCGAAAACT